AGCTGAGAAAGGCGGATCACCAGAGGTCAGGAGTTCGAGACCAGCCTAACCAACATGGAGAAACCCCACCTCTACTAAAAATACAAAATTAGCCAGGCATGGTGGCACTCGCCTGTAATCCCAGCTACTCGGGAGGCTGAGGCAGGAGAATCACTTGAACCCCGGAGGCCGAGTTTGTGGTGAGCCGAGATCGTGCCATTGCACTCCAGTGTGGGCAACAAGAGCAAAACTCCATCTCAAAAAAAGAAAAATGTGCTCTGTAGGCCAGCAGTGCTGCTGCCAACTTGGAGTGCTTTTGATAGCAACGGAGCAGCTGAGGCTGCACCCTGGACCTGCTGAATCTGACGCTGTGTTTTAATAGGATGCCTAGATGACTCGCATGCCCTTTAAAGTTTGAGGAGCACTGCTCTGGCCACTCTTTTTGCATAAAGAGTGTGCCTTAGAGCAGAGGTTTTCAAAGTGTCTCTGGCTCACGGCAGCAGCAGCAGTACCAGGAGCTTGCAGAAATGTAAATATTGAGCCCCACCTCACACCCACTGAATCAGAAACTACAGGAATGGAGGCCAGGAATCTGTTATTTTAACAAGCCCTCTAGGTGTTCCGATGCACGCTCGCATTGGAGAGGCACGGCCCTAGATGTAGGCCCTAGATGTACAACGCACTGGCACACACAGCAGCCTCTTTGATCCTAGGAATCCATTGCCCCTGCACTGGATGCCAGGATGATCAAAGAAGAGCTCGGCCTGAAAGAACTTTGAAAGCCGGATTGTAGGAGGCTAAATGGGCAGGGCTACTTCCTCCCGCCCCTTCTTTGACAGCAGCTTTGAAGGGCTGAGTTAATCCTATTCCTGCTTGTGGCTCCATCACACACTCTTCTCTATTTTGCCTGTATATTCATTCACTTTTATCCCCACTTCTGCGCTGAGGAACCTCCTTTTCCCTCAACACAGACAAGATCTGTCCTGTAAAGAATGGATTGGTTAGTGTGCATGAATTTACATTTCCCCTAATGATACAATGCTGTAGGCCTCTATCTGTGCCTTACTTTTTCACTCAGTGGGGGATTTTTAAGGTCTCCCTTCTTTGTTAAATGTACCCAGAGTCCATTGCTTCTAACTCAGACTGAGTATCTCATAGGGTGCACCCAGCTTCTCCTGCCCTGTGACAAGACACCCAGGTGGCTTCCAGCTCCTCAGCACCACCAAGGATGCTGTGATAAGCATTTCCCCAAGTGTCTCCCCATTTTAAGATGGAAAAACTTGAAACACTTCCAGCCCATGTGACTTGCCCATTCTCTGGTCTGGGGAGTGGCAAACTTGCAAACTGCAGCATGGTGGTGAAGAGCGTGAGTTTGGTGTCAGACTCACCTGGGCAGATAACCTGGCACCAGTCCCTCCACCTTTCTGTGCCTCAGTGTCCTCATCCATGAAATGAAACCTACATTATAGGTTCTCTATGAAGAGTTAAAAACAAAAACCACTTAGCAGAGTCTCTAGCACATAGTAAGTGCTCAATAAACGTTCACTTTAATTGTGCCTCTCTTTCCAGAGACTGTCTTTTGACCTCTCTTCCACTGATACTTTTCTTTTTTGCTCTTGCTTCACGGTAATTTTCCTCAAATGTCACCTATTCAAAGTGACCTCCAGAAATGATCCTAGAGGTACCCAGAAAAGGCCAGTGGCCTGGGCAGGGGAAAGGACAACAGGTAGGGCTGGTTGGGGCGTTTTGGTGAAGGAACTGGGCCAGAGGGACTTGCCTGGGCTAGGAGTCAAGAATGGAATTGCAGGAGGCTGTGTGGCCAGTGATAGCACACGGGTGGGGCGCCACAGCCCCGATATCCTAGCGTTCTCCTGGCTCTGGTGGGAAAGCAGCCGTGCAGGGCCCGCATACAGCAGGCCCTTAACATATGGCGGTTTCTCTTATGTGCTGTATTGTGGTCCAGATTTAAAGGGGTAGGAGCAGAAGAGTCCTGTCACCCTGGGGGAAGGATGGAGATCTTTGCTTTGCTTTGCAGGGACTCTCTTGTGTACGCAGGCGAGGAATCCAGGGAAGGGAATGCGCCAGAGCTTGAACCGCAGACTGGAAAGAGGGAGTCTGTGGCCAAGGCCTGGGCCGCGCAGGTTGCATGCCCCAGCCTGGGCCAGCAGAGGGCGCTGAGCACCTCCGCACAGAGCTAGCGGCAGTCCCGTGACAACCCTGGCAAGCTGCGAGTTAGAGAATCCAATTGTCTCGCTTCCCAGGATTAAGGGGTTCCCCCACCCCCAACTGCCAGGGACTTTTAGTGCTAAAATCAGGGAAGTCTCAGGCAAATCAAGACGAGTTGGTTACTCTGACTGGAAGATGCAACCGCTGAAGTGTTGCTCACACACATAAACACACATGTGCACATCACACACAGCACAAAATGTACCGACTCGCACCACACACCTCACAGTGCACATCACACACTCATGAACATCGCACTACATGCATAACACACACAACATGCTTGCACACAGACACATGTATCACTCATGTCACACATTTATAACACATGCAACATACAAAGAATACATACACACACATGTACCATGAAAACATGTAAAACAAACACTGCACCACACACAGGCACAGTACCTGTGCATATCACACCACATACACAAGATACACCTGTATCACACTCGTGCACACCACACACACAGCACCCACAAATACATGCACAGCACACACAGCACAAATTTACCTGTACTTGTGCCACATACGTCATACCCATGCACTTCATGCCACATGAATAAACAACACACCTGAACACGTATGCATACACCATTCACAAAACGCACTTATAACACAATGCACCACATGCAATCCACACACTCACACTCCACAGAAGCACAGCATACACAAGAAACAGTCACAACACAGTACCTGTGCACACATGTACCACATAAACATATCTAAAACAGAGCAAATTGCAACACACATGCAGGTGAACAATGTATGTGGCATCACCCCAATACACAATACATATATGAACCACGCACATAATACATGCACATTAACGCACATGCACACAAGGCAACACATTGCATAACTCACACTGGTGCGTACCATACCACATACACAAAGTGACATGTGCCAAGCATACACGCACCACATAATGCAGAATACATGCATGTACTACACATAACATACATGCACATCCATTTAGTACACATAATGCAATGCACACACAACACAGAGAATACATACAACACACAGGCACAAACACACATAGACCATGCACCCACAAATATGCATATGCACCGCACATTTGCACTAGGCAGGCACACAGTCACACACACATACCACTTTGCTAGCCACAGACCCTCTTGTTTCAGGCAATATTTCTTATTGGTAGAAGGAGGACCCTCGTTCTTGCTCCAGGCCAATGAATAATAGTGTCAAAAAATTTGCAAACTATATATTTGTTCACTCAGCAATCACTTCTTTACTGCATGTTGCGCTTTGGGATGTACAATACAAATTCAGTTCTGACCTTTTAAGGGGCTCACAGCATGGCAGGGAAGGCAGGCTTCGACTGATAAACATCAAGGGTCATTTGGCTTTGGTTGTAGTAAGCACTATGAGTTAAAACTCCGGGGTGCAAGGGGGGCACAAAACTAGAATGGGGTGGGAATTTCCTGGAAAGAGCTTTTAAAGGCAAGACCTGAAATCAGTGTAATGGGGTTAGAATGAACGGAAGTAGGGTGAGGTGAGTGGGACACCCCGGGCACACAGTTTAAGGAGGCGTTCGCTCCGGTTGCTGACTCTGCAATTGCATGCCCTTGAGTGTGAGTGGCTGAGTAGCCAGGCTGAGGGGAACTAGATCAGGGAGCCGAGGAGTTTGTGGCCCTCCTGCCAACTGCCGCTCTGCACAGATGCTGTCACCTCAAGGGTTAGAGGACATGTTTGCTTTCTAGGAAACTCTCCAGGCTCTGGGAGGAGCAATGGCTTATAGGAAAAGGGACCTAAACCACCAAACTAAAACTAACCAGCTGCCTTGCTCCCTGGATGCTGGGAACCAAGGCTCCCTCCTCAGTGGCCAGCTATGGTGACAGTAAGGGGGCAGGGGGTGGAGGACGGGCAGCATCTCCCTGGGCACAGCTCTGCACATCACCTACACTCTCAGCTTCCCTCCTGGGGCCGGGGCCGCCCTGGCAGGGTAAGTAGCAGTCAGCACGGTATTCTGGCTCTCAGGCACTGACCCCTTTTCTTAGTCTAGTGGCCCAAGGAGGGTCGCACGAAGGGTGGGCCAGGCAGACTGGAGCTCGCATGCCTGCCTTCGAACCCCGACTTAGTTACCTACTAGCAGCATGACTAGGAAAGCCACTTGGCCTTGTTTCCATACCTATAAAATAAGCATGATGATACTATTAGCTCCCGTCTTGCAGAGCTGTGAGGACTTTCAGGATCAGGACTCTATGAGTTAATATACATTAAAAGCTTGTAAAGTAAAGCCAGGCACATGGGAAGAGCCCCCTAAATGTAAACTGCAATTGTTAATTTTGATCCAAACTAAAAGCAAACACTAACAATAACTTTAAAATCAAAATGTAGTGGAGTCAGAGGGTTAGAATTGGAGAATGTCTGCTCTAACCTCCCTTCTGTGTTATACAGATAAACCATTCAACCTACGGACAGAAGAACTAGAACCCAGGACAGAGAAGAGAATGAACAAGCTGGAGTTCTCACTTTCTTCTCTCTAGGACAACAGTTCTCACCTGAAGGGCTTGTTCATGCAGAACACTGAACCCACCCAGCGTTTCTTGTTCAGCAGGCCTGGGATGGGGTCTGAGAATCTGCATTTCTGAGAACCCATCAGTGCCCAGGGGATGCTGGCACTGCTGGCCCAGGTAGCACAGCTTGGAAAGCACTTGCCCTAAGGACAGAAGAGGCAGGGTATGGAGAGCTCGCGTCCCTGGGTTCACTATCACCTGATCATGTCCTGGGATCCAGGAAGGGAAAACAAGGGCCTTACTTACAGCGGGTGCCGCGCCTCGGGCAGAGTCCTCTGGAGGGGGATGCGGGCACTGAGTGCCTCGTGGAGGCCACGTGGGTCCAGGCTGAACGGGGTCAGCTCCTCTTCTTCAGATGCCTCCCCATTCTCCTCCTCGGCCCCCCAGTCCCTCTTTGTGGCTTCCTCATCCCGCCTCCTGCTCGGCTGCTTGATGAGCCGGTAGCTGACACTTCTCCTGCCCTGGCTCTGGTTCCTTCTGGCCCTGGGTAAGGCCACAGCCACCAGCAGCTGATCCTCCCGCAGTGAGATAAAGGGTGGCAGGCCCTCCAGAGGGCTGTACTCCTCGCCCTCATCCTCAGCCTCCAGTACCCAATCCTGGGGTTCCCCAAAGTCCAGGCGGTATCTGGCTTCAGGGCTGTGCTTGCTGGCTTGGGCTGTGACCGTCTGGTGCAGGGTGTGCGGGGGAGGGTGCAACATCGCCACCATCAGCAGGACGCATCCCAGCAACAGGAGCAGCAGGAGGAACTGGAGTCTGCATGGTCTGTGCCTGTATCGCTTCCTTAGGAGCATGTTGCTGGAACTTGCCAAATGCAACAGGTCATGTTCAAGTTCACTTTCTCCGCTCCAGGCTCCTTCAGGCTTGCAGCAGAACCTGGGTTGCTCCTTCCATCTGGAAGTTTTTTTGCCACTTAACCTGCTCCTGACATTTGCCAACAGCGTGTGTAAGACCTGCTTCCACTTACAATCAGAAAACCACAGGACCCAAGATTCACCCCAAGTCCTCTCTGAGTGGATTTCTTTAATTGCCTTCTGAAAGAAAGCCCATTCACAGGGACTTCAAACTGAATTGCTGCCCTCCCTTTACCCCGGTTTTCTCCTTGGGAAAAAAAATAATGATTCTGCTCAGGTGTTTCTTTCCCCCTTTGCACAAATAGGTTGCTATGAGGTGTCTGGGATGAGCTGGTGGGTTCTCAGTCAAGCAGGGCTGACAGCCGTCCCTCTTTGGACGCTTCCAGTCAGGTCAGATCAACAGATGTAAAGCCGGCAGGCAGTGCCTGGTTTCCTTTCACACATAGCTCCACTCAGCCGAGAGCCCTCTGCCAGACACCACCCGGAGCCAAGCGTGCGCCTCGCTCCTGGTCCTAATGCCCTCACTGTTCCCAGGCTTTGCACAATTCAGCGTCATCGCTGCTAGAGCCAAATCAAAACGGGAATATCCCAAGAGTTCAAAAGGAAAGAACATCCCCTCCTGATTCAGAAAACCTGTATGTGTGGCATAGATGCCAGGAGCAGCAGCTGTCTGTTTGCGCCCTCGGCCTCCCACGGGGAATCAACCAAACTAGACTGGACTCTCCTTCCCCTTCCTGGGGACCACCGTCCCTGTCCTGAAAATGACAGCACTAAGGGAGATTGTCTTGCAAGGCCCTCCTGCTCCCACAAGAGCAGCTGAATCCCTGCTCTGCCCTGGCCACTGACGGGGACGCTGGAAGAGGAGTGGCATGTTCCTTCCATCATAAGGCTTCCTTCATTTAACCAACACATAATTAATGAGCACATGCTATGTGCCAAAACTGTTCTGGGAACTGGAAGTACAGCAATGAATAACACAGACAAAAATGTATGTCTCATGGAGCTTGCATTCTAGTGAGAGATACAATTAAAACTATCCCCTGGGTCAGATGGTGATGAGGATGAAGGCAAAAAGGCAGAGCATGGATGGGGCCGGGGAGCACGTGCTGGGCTTGGAAATGGACATTGAGTGGTGGAGAAAGGTTTCACGGAAGAGTTAGCATTTGTGTAAAGGAGAAGCCTGCACAGCTATCTGAGGTTGAGCGTTCGGGGCAGAATGAGAAATGTGAAAGTTCTAAGGCAAGCTTGCACCGGCGTGTCTGAGGAACAGCAGAAGGCCAGCATGGCTGAAGCAAAGCGCACATGGTGGAACCTGATGGGAAGTAGAATAAGAGAGGCAAGGGGGGCAGGAGGACTGTGTAGGGCACCCCCTGGTTGCACGGAAGGGACTTTAGCTTTTCCTTTGAGAGGGGAGTCCTTCGAGGAGAGACACAACCTGCCTTGGGTTTTACCTGGGTCATTCTGGCCGCTGGGTTGAGACTAGTCAGTGCGGGGCAAACAGCAGGAGCAGGGAGACCAACCAAGAGGTTCTCGGCTTGCACAAAAGTGGCATCAGTGGTGACATCCACTTCTTCATATATTCTAAGGAAGAACCTGGAGGATTTGCTGATGAATTAACGACTACTATGAGAGAAAGAGAAGAGTCAAGGATGAGTTCTGATTTCAGCCTGAGTAGTTGGAAGACTACTTGCCATGAGCCAAGATGGGGAAGGAGAGAAGGTGGAAGGAGACAAATACCAGTGGCTGGGTTTGGAACATGTGATAACTGAGATGTCCTTCAGACAGCTAAGAGGAGACGAAGTGAAGGCAGCAGGATGTAGGATCGCTGAAGGTCAGGGAGGGCCTGGCCTGCAGGTACAAAGCTGGACTCCAGCAGATGAGGCCTGAGGTCACTGAGGGAGTGAGGCAGGCAGGAGGGAGAAGGCAATCCACACACTCAGAGTTTTCGGGCTTCTGGCTCGAACAGGGTGAAGGATAACTGAGCATCGCCATGAGCTGTTTTTTCTGATGGCTGTAAAGCAGCCGGGCTGTCTGCAGCCGAGAGAGGAGGGGAAACTGCCACTGGGGATGTGCTGCAATGAACCTGCTCGTTGTTTTTGTCTTTATTTTGGTCTTAGAATGTCAGCTCAAATTTTTCATGGAAAAAAAAGTTTCATCTTTTGACTCAGTTGTTTCTCTCAGTGTGTGTGGTGTGGTGTGTCTGTGCACGCACACGTGGACAAGCATGTCGACACACGTGTTTTCATAAAGTCAAAGGTGAAATAGTGGGTTATGTGTGGTTGTTTTCCTGGGAGCCCAGCATAATGCCCAGTGGGCAGCGCTTAGCAATTTCCGGATCGAATTGTGTCTTCCAAATCTCAAATCACGGTGTACTGCCAGGTGGGGATGCTGTGTCATTTCCAAATTCAAGAGGCAGACACCCTGGGAGGTGTAGTTCAGAATTTCTGGTGACGTTTTGAGGTTAATGAGCATGAAGGATTAGGTGGTTTCAAATCCAGGAGGCCTTTGTCCACTCATCTCCAGCCACACTGGTCTTGAACTTGCCAAGAACAGCCCAGCCCAGGGCCGTCACCCTGCCAGCCCGCTGCTTAAGCACTCTTTCCCCAGAACTTCATCCACACCATATGGCTCATTTCTTCATTTCTGTGTTTACTCCAATGTCACCTATTTAGTGAAGCCTTCCTGGACCCACCATTCTACACGGAAAGCCCATCGTCGACATGGGGCCAAGTTTGAGAATCTCCAAGGTTCTTCTCAACCCCTGGCAAATTAAAATACTAAGGTGTGTTTACTGTCTGTTTCTCTACCCACTCCCATAAAACATAAGCTCTACAAGGGCAGGGCTTTTGTCTGATTGTTCACCGCTGTTTTTCCGGAGCACACAAAGCACACTGTTCCACTCCCCAGGCCTTTGCTGCCGTCCCCGCCAGCTTTGCTGCCAGTTCCTCCCACCCCCACCGTCCCCTGGCACAGGAGGCCCAGACCTTGCTCTCTCCTTTCTCACCCTTGCTCTTATCATGGGTTGAATCGTGTCCTCTAAAATTACGCTGAAGCGCTACCTCCCCTGGGGAACCTGTGAAAGAGACCATGACAGCAAATAGGATCTTTGTAGACTATCAAGTTAAAAGGACGTCATTAGGGCGGGCCCTAATCTGACTGGCATTCACAAAAAGGGGTGCATGCTTCTTGTACAGCCTGCGGAAGTGTGAGCCAAATAAACTTCTTTACAAATTACCCAGCCTCATGTACTCCCTTACAGCAACACAAATGGACTAAGACAGCTATGACGCAGTGACGGCTGCTTGGTTTTTGGTCTTCCCCATTAGCGGTTGCTCCATCTTCATCTGTCTCACACTCAGCACAGTGCCTGGTCTGGTAGTACACGGTTGTTCAATAAATGATTCTCAGAGATGAGTGACGTGATAGACACTATGCATTATGCAATAAGAAATTCTTAACATCAAGGTAGCACCCTGGGACCTTAGAAAGGGAAGAAAGGAAATGTATGGCGTGCAACCACTTACCCAAATGGCCAACCTCAACTTCTCCCTTCCCTCAGAATGTCTGAGATGGCCAAGCCCACGTCCTCACTCTCTTTCCTCTTTCATGATCTGGCTACAGATTTTATTGGGAAGGAACAGCACTGAGAGTAGGATCTTACTGTGTGTCTAAATGGCACAGGGGCAAGCACGGGTAGGGAATACCTTTCACACAGGACTAACAGAGAGGCCTGGCGTCCACGGTGCCTCAGTGCCCTCTCTTTGCACAGCCATGACCAGCAGGCCCATCACTGAATGCACAGGTGTATTAGTCCATTTTCATGCTGCTGATAAAGACATACTTGAGACTGGGAAGAAAAAGGGGCTTACTGGACCTACGGTCCCACATGGCTGGGGCGGCCTTACAGTCACGGTGGAAGGCAAAGAGAAGCAAGTCATGTCTTACGTGGATGGAGGTGGGCAAACAGATAGAGAGCTTGTGCAGGGAAACTCCTATTTTTAAAGCCATCAGTTCTTGTGAGACTCATTCACTATCACGAGAACAGGAAAGACCCACCCCCATAATTCAATCTCCTCCCACAGGGCTCCTCCCAGGACACATGGGAATTATGGGAGTTACAAGTCAAGATGAGATTTGGGTGGGGACACAGCCAAACCATATGAAAAGGTAACCAAGAACAGAGGTCCTTCTTAGGCCTTTCTCAGACTTACTGAGCCAGTATTTATGGGGTGGGCCTAGGCTTCTGTGTTTTAACAAGCCCTCTGAAGGCTTCTAATGTATGCTAAGGGCTTAGAGCACTAGTGTAAAGAACACATCTCCCTGACATGACAAGAAAAGGCCCACACTCAAGTTGCTTCTCTCTGGTCCCAGGATATGTTCTGCGTGGGTATGAGAAAGGAACAAAGGAGCTTTGTTCCATGCATATGGAGGCCACAGACTCAGATATGCAAGGCCTGATGAAGGTTTTTATTTTTACTGTAAGTGAACTCATGAGCCCCTTCTCCTTGTTAGGGAAACCAGTCTCAGGGGTTCAAGGTGTCACCATTCACTTTCTACCCAGAGTAAGGTCTAGTTTATGGGGGTCCCACAGGGCCCAGGCACCTGTCCTTGTCTTCGTCATCTACATCAGAGTCCTCTGAAAGGGCCCTGTCCCCATCGGGTCTCCAAACACTTCTCTGTAGAGGTTTTGCTCCATACACCTGCTCTCCATACCCAAGGCCTTTGAGGGTCACAGGCTTTCTGTGACATGCCCACATCCCTCTTCTCAGGGGAATGAGGAATTCTGTGAGGCTCCCTCACACCCAGCAGCCTAAACACCCAAGAGGCTTCTTCTGCTCCCATACCGTGCTGTTTGAAGGAGATTCTGGGATCTTGTCATTTCCCTGTGCTATAAAAGATGGGGACACTATTGTGGGTTTCTGTCATTTGCCTCCCTATATCATCTCTCTCCTGGGACTTGGCTTAGGGGAGCGGTTTAGGATACTTCTCAGGAACCCACCAGAATCTAAAGTCTCTTTGTTTTCCCTTCAACAATTCCTTTCCTGGCACAGGGGATTGAAAAGATAAATACATGTATTTAGAAATGTTCTAATTCCCGAAGAGACTGCAGCAGCCATGGCAGATACATTGCTATTCCCTCCACCCCAGCTCCGAGTTCAGGTGCAGCTGCCGATGGACAGTAACTGTGTGCACAGACAGCCTCCCACCTCGAGGCCGCATCTCTCTGCCTGAGGGCTTCCCGGCATGAGGGAGCAGCTCACCTTTCACGCAGAGCAGGCCAGAAGTGCTGGGGATTTAACTTCAGGGACAACTTCAATCCTTACGTAAAGGAAACTGGTGGATAAATACTTTCTTGTGTAATAGTGAATAGGCTTGGTGGGACTCTTCTGAGATACGGTTTACATAATTCTCCAGAATTCCTAGTTCGAGGATTTCTA